TCGATCCCCGACCGCGTCATACCAAAAGACGTTAAAATGTGGTACTTGTTGGTCCCTGCCTGGCGCTCGGTATTAATGGGTATAACAAGGACTGGTCGGCTCGGAGTCAGTATAATGTGTCTGAGTGGGGTATTCATGCTTCACTGCGGCATGGTGTCTCAGTGAGTTAGCGCTATAAAACCAGCTCAAGTCTGGGCTAGTACAAGCAGCCACACATACACACGCATGCACGTCGTCATATGAGCGAAATATTCTTAATTACGACGTTACAACCCCATTCACCTCACGTACTAACTTGTATATGTAACTGTTGACCGTGACTTCACATATTCCTATACATGACAAGTCAAAATTCACATCATTCTTAAAATGTTACTTTAAAATAGCTTGGTTGACACATGTCACCCGATATCGTTCGTCGTTTCTTACGACAAGCATGGGTTTCTCAATGCCAATAGTTTTATTCTAACCCGGATCGTAACGGGTTTCTCATACTAAAAAGATTAATTTACTGATTAGTTAAGATGCAGGAACATGCTTGTAGCAAATGCTTCGAAATACAACGTCCTTCCTCTTATATTGACCAGTGAAGATTCGGGGAAGAATTGGTCTTCAGTAGCCCATGCTTGTAGTAAGAAGCGACTAACGGGATCGGGTTGTCAGGATCGCTGACTTGGTTGACACATGTCATCGGTTCCCCATTGCGTAGATCGATGTTCATGATGTCATCAATGGATTGTCTGGTCCAGACTCGATTATTTACAGTTCCCGCCATATAGCTGGAAGTCTGCTGAGTGCGGCGTTAAACAACAAACAAACAAAGCATGGATATTCTTAAACCACGCTGTGAGTTTACATGTTTGAAGTCATGGAAACTACAAGCATTACACGTCCATGACCGACATTATTACGGGATTTCCCCCTACAATTAGTTGACACATCGTGATATAACTGGAATACTGTTCAAACTTTTAAAGCCAACTCACCCATTCATAAATTTTAGTTCATAATGTCATAACATGGGTGTTGAAACATCCTGTCGGTTTTCTCAAACAATCGTAAACAATACGAAACACAGACTTTAAGACATGTTTCTCGCGACACAAGGTCAATTCTGTGTTGATATTAGTCATCCTGCAAGGGCTTGTCCCCAGACACTTCCCTTTACAGCATCATTTCCTACTCGCTGCATCGTCCAGATTTCCCATCATTTAGTTACACGACCGGAGTATGGGCGCTGTGAATGAGACTGATTCTGGAAGAGTTGTTGTGTTCCATGTGGCCACTCCTCAAACAGCCTTCCCCAGGTTCCTCAAGGCCTGACATCCATACATGTTGTCATTACAACATACGTGGATACTAGCAGCTTTCTCAACTTCACAATGCTTTAACATTAGCACGTTGTCTCTAAGTGGTGCTTCCTTGTTGGGGGATGGGGGTAATTGTCGTGACATTTACTCAGCTCCTTTCGATTTCACATGACGATTCACACATTTTATAATGAGTGTATCTTTGTATAGATGCATGAAATATGTGAGCGGACAATACACAAAGACACAAAACCCACATGCATGTATGTATCCGTTCATAATCCAGCATTTCAATATTTGGGTTTTTGTTCCGCATTGCTTAGTTTATACATCCCATTTTGATAGGTTAACAAATGTATAATACAGAAATGTCGTTGTATGTTTATATAACAACTGATAGAGAGAGTTACGTTTGTCAGAGTCTGTAAATATGATTTCTATTTACAATGCTAAGTATACTAGACACTTGTGTGCATGTGTCATCAAGTGTCTGTATGCTCTCCTTAGAGTCTTCTATTGATATGAAACAGATTCAAGTGTCATCCAGTATCAGTATGCCCCTTAGAGTCTTCTATTCATATGAAACAGATTCAAGTGTCATCAAGTATCAGTATGCTCCTTAGAGTCTTCTATTCATATGAAACAGATTCAAGTGTCATCAAGTATCAGTATGCCCCTTAGAGTCTTCTATTCATATGAAACAGATTCATGTGTCATCAATTATCGGTATGCTCCTTAGAGTCTTCCATTCATATGAAACAGATTCAAGTGTCATCAAGTGTCACTATGGCCATCACTGTTTTATCATGATAAGATTTCTGTAGATGTGTTTCACAGAGCCATTCTTGTCAGAAACACTTGCCAAATGCCAGCCTGTCTCTGTGAGAGCGACGGGAGCCAAGTGGAATGGTACAGGTATTTGTGTGCATCAGATGTCGGGATGGATTTGTCAGTGGGTTGAGGACCTGCTAGACTAACGCTTAGTCTCCGAATATATATAATTTTGATTGTAACAAGTAAACCCATCTAAATTGTGAAAAGGAGACCCAGGGAGACCAGGGATTCAGAACCTTGGAAAATCCAGACTTGCTTCATTTAGGGCTTTAGCACTGCAGGGAGGGCTAGGCTGTAGGAAAATAATATGCTTCAGGGACTGTGAGACACACTAGAAACCAGCCCTGAAGCGTTAATGCAAACTACAACAAACTAGACGACTAACAGGACATGATTGTCAGGATGGGACGTGGGGCTGGTTTCAAACATCACACACCAACTCATGAATATATGTAGAAGAAGAGGCCTCCTAAGCTCATCCCTTTAAAATCTATTATCCTTAAACAATTTCTTCTCAATGGCTTATTAGGTGGGCAAACATGTTTAAATACAGGTATAGCATTTAAATATATCAAAATACAGAAAACATTATACAGGACACATGATTCCACTCAACGAACTATTAGGGTGAGGTTTGAAGGTAACTAAAGAATGTGAAGAAAAGGTGAATATAGAAGATTACCCTCTGATCTGCAGTGCATGCATTCAGTACAGTGCTAGATATCCCTAAAACAGCTTCTAGCTTTCAGTCTATATTACATTGTGATAGAACTTGAAATGATCCAATTGGTCACCGGGAATAAGTTAATATATAGCTTTTCATTGCCTCAACTAACATTGTTTAGATCTCTAATTATTTTACTTATCCTGTAAGAACTCTTTATAGAACTGGGGCGGTGGGGTAGCTTAGTGGTTAAAGCGTTCGCTCGTCACGCCGAAGGCCCGGGTTCGATTCCCCACATGGGTACAATGTCTGAAGCCCATTTCTGGTGTCCCCCGCCATGATATTGCTGGAATATTGCTAAAAGCGGCGTAAAACCCAACTCACTCACTCACACTTTATAGTACTTGTGTACAGACACACTAACCTGACATAGTTGTGTTCATGTCATGTCATTCCCAGATTTATAGGTATGCTAGATGCTAGGATTGTTCTCCAGGACTCACACTGTATATATCTCTGTTGTCCATGTGAACACTTGTACATAGTCACTGATCCACCCACTAGCATATAGAGATGAAACCAAGCGTTGTGTGAGAGCATTATCAGATCTAGGTCACTGTGATGGGGTATTAAGCGTTGTATGTCAAAGTTACACCTCACCGATGACCATCTATAAATAAGTTCTCATTGTACTCAATAGTAACTGTTAAACATGGTAAGTGTACAATTTAGGCCAATTTTCAGATATTTATCAGATACATAAACACTCTGCTCCTCGCATACACGAGGACACATCGAGTACTGAATCATGTAGTGCATAGCTGAAACTGTTCTTAATCAGTGAGGATACGGCATCTGGGGCGATGCTTCAAGGTTTGTGTGTAATGTATGGTGGACTTGGGATGGCACGTTTGTGTATATATTATATGTAAAAACATTGGGTCGTTACGTGTGGGCAGAGCTGTAGCCAAGAGCGCGGAAACAGGCAAATCCATGTGCGGCTGCTCTGATAAGACCAGCCTCTCTCTGTGGTTTGACCTGACAAGTTCGGTGTATGCTGGGATTTCAGTGTTTACACGGTGGTGTGGCTATATGCATGTTGTTGGAGTAGGAGCTTTAGTCATTACAGGACGACTCGAGCTGCAATCTGTTGTCGAGCACAACCCTGGAACAATACGTCAATGTTCCTTTAATCAACTCATCCGTATCCACAGATCAACGTATCGTTATCAAACGAGATCAGCCGGGCGATAGACGGTGACAGGGTCTGTAAGTGCGCGTGGAAATCAAGTCTTTTCATTGGTTGGAGTCACGAAAGGTCACTGTGTGTTCCATTTGTGACGTCACAGACAGCATATCTCTTTCATTGAGATTTTTCCACCCACGTATATAGTGTCACGGTGCTGGCAGCGGTAATGACCCCTGCGTTAAAGGTTATTGGCTCAACCACATGTGGTCGTCTAGAAACACCATAAAGACCGCACCAGTGAACTAAGATAAAATAATATATATGAAAAAGAGCACAACCCAACTGTAATGCTAATACCTCTGACTTGACCAAGAAAGATTGAAAATGATACTTGAAACTTAGAGACTGTGTTTCTCAAGCATCAGGTTTTAATATATAGCCCAAAAAATATTCATTAATCTTATGAGTCAAATCTGGACATGTGATAGCAGACGTTAGTGGCTACCGTCACGTATGATTTTAATTGTTCTACATTAACTAATAATGAAGATATAGTCCCAATAAAGATTTGAAAATAGTCTTCCATTGGGATTAATAGAAGAAAAGACTGCATTTCTCCCAAAATAAACAAGTTTATATAAATTAGACCATATAGCCCGAAAACTGAGTATTATGGACCTAGTTGCATGATACAAGATTTAGGTTACATTCAAAAGTTGACTTTAATTCTTGACATGATATGTCCGCGACAAACACACATGGACTACATAAATTGTATTGAAGTCAACTTAATACAGGGTTTCGTCACAATAGTGATGAGTCTCAAGAAGCCTAAAGACATTTTCAAATATCCTCGACCGAGGACAGATACAGTATTACCCAGCCCGACCACCAAACGGGTTCAGTTTGACGACATCCTTGTGTTTGACACTGAAGACATGGGTGTAGTATACGAGAGAAGCAACTTAACACCGTCTTAACCAGGCAATGTCCCTTTTTTCAGACAGCAAAGTCGTCGTCGAAGCATTAGAGACACTGCAACATCACCAACGACACCAGACGACTACGTTCCATTCATTCCACCGGAATCACCGTCCCCATCCAAATCAAAGAAAATGGACAGGTATGTTACATTTGTAGTTACAGTTGTAATAAACTAACACATTCCATATGTCATCTAACATGCTTTTCCGTGCATACATTCGATGTGTATTTATATAATTGTATTATAACGTTAAGGAGTAATAATCAAACAACATTTACCTTGTAGGTATATATTTGCTTATAGTATTTTGTGATGCTTAATCTTTATTACACTTACTATATGCACGTGGTATTTTCAACAACTCTCAAATATTGCCAAACTGTTGTCATTTATATAATTGTATTGCACTTTACTTGGTAGTTTCATTAAAGTTATCCAATACCTGTCAAAAACTTGAGATTACAGTATTGTGAATAATTTTTGGCCGTTCTCTTTCAGTTTTGATCCCTACCAGGTGTTTCAGGTGAGTACATCTTCTCTCAAAATAGCACACCCTGAAAAAGAATTCTTTTCACACATTATATGAAAACATACGGACAGAGTACACCGCCCTGTCTTACGCCCCGTGTACAAACACCCACTCGAGCGACGAACACCCAACTGCAGACCTATTTCTGCTGTCTTTATTCAATCATTTGTTCCTTTCATGCTTTTTTTAGACTTTTTATCCTACAACGGTTGTAATGGGTGTAACCTGTATGAAGGTTTACCCTCCCACCGGTTTTCCTAATATGGCAATGGTGACCCATATCGATTTATTGATATTGACATAGACGTGCCTCTCGCTTTAAAAGGCATTATGACAGTTATGTGTTCAAGGGGTTAAATATTCCGTGACTCCACACTTCCCGACAGGCTGTGTCTCCCGTGTTTACGCCTGGTGACAGTAATAGGTTTCCGGTGGTTGTATTTTGACATGAGAGAACGCTGGAATGTAGCCTAATGTATTTATTAGGTGATAATCTGACGTTATCACGGGTCTCAACTTGAAACCTCTTACGCGATCTAGTTAACGCCTATGATAAGAAAAAGAACTCACGTTTGTTTATAAACTGAGGGGCAAAAGAAACGTCCCCGATCATTTTTTTATCATAAAATGATACAAACACATGCAATTCAATGTTGAAATGTTTTATATAATTGTTGAACATATTATGCAGACTGTCATTACAGAACAATTGAAACAATTTGCTGTAAGTAGAGTTTTTGTGACGTTTTTCACAGGAGGTTCAAATGTCCGGGTTTCGATCATGACAACACATGCACATCAGTACTGACAGAGTGTCTTTGAGTGTCCAACTCCTCAGTAGCGAGTGTGTCCACCTCTTGCAGCGATACATGCTGCCACACGACGTCGTGCAGAGTGCACAAGACGTCTGATCACGTGATCTGGGATGCGACGCCATTCTTCCTGTAGAGCTTGAGCCAAAGCAACAACGTGCTGTGCGTTCGTTCCGACGTCTGTAGACTCGTACCCGACCATCAGCTTTGTTCAACTGGAAGCGGCTCTCGTCACTGAAGAGTACCCGGCGCCAGTTCCGCGGCTGCCACTGCCGAACTCTACGTGCCCAAGCCAAGCGACGACGTCGATGTTCACGCGTTAACGTCACGCCCCGGAATGGTCTGTTGGCTCTGATACCGAATCGGCGGAGTCGTCTGGATATGGTCCTTCTACTGACTGGATGGGTAAGGCTGGTTGTTGCTGATGACGTCACAGTCAGGAATCTGTTGCGCAAGTGAAGCACCCGTAAATGGCGGTCTTCCTGAGGGGTGGTTACGGGTGGTCTCCCCTGTCCTAGGCCTGTCTGCAGTCCGACCTGTTGTTCTGAAGCGTGTCATCAGTCTGGTGATGGTTTTCTTGCTGCAACCCATGATTCTTGCAACGTGACTGTGAGAAGCACCCAGCTGCAACATCCCAATAGCTCGTCTCTCTGTTCTGCCGTGAGTCGAGGCATGTTCTTTGTGTCCAACGTATTGAAGTGATGAATTCGAACAGTCGAGCATAATTTTTATACTGTACTTTCATACGGGTATGTTTCCACCGAAGCATGCAAAAAACGTGAATAAAAGCAATTTTCATGCTTACAAAAAACTCCACGTGGATTTCCTTTCTGTGAGACGTGGGGATGCGTTCGGGAGATGTGTTCCTAAATAAATTTCCGTCATAACGACAACAGAAAAACTGTTTTTTTCAAATTTTACTTTGGGGACGTTTCTTTTGCCCCTCAGTTTATCAAGTTTCCCAGGGTTTTCATAGAGAGGTATGTGCCCCACAGTCCCTGAACAGTATTATTTTCCCCACTGCCCAGCCCTCCCTGCTTGCCAAAACCTAGTCTGTCTCACAGTCCCTGAACCACATTATTTTCCCCACTGCCTAGCCCTCCCTTCATGCCAAAACCTAGTCTGCCTCACAGTCCCTGAACAGCATTATTTTCCCCACTGCCCAGCCCTCCCTGCTTGCCAAAACCTAGTCTGTCTCACAGTCCCTGAACCACATCATTTTCCCCACTGCCCAGCCCTCCCTTCATGCCAAAACCTAGTCTGCCTCACAGTCCCTGAACCACATTATTTTCCCCACTGCCTATTCCTCCCTTCATGCCAAAACCTAGTCTGCCTCACAGTCCCTGAACAACATTATTTTCCCCACTGCCCAGCCCTCTCTTCATGCCAAAACCTAGTCTGCCCCACAGTCCCTGAACAACATTATTTTCCCCACTGCCTAGCCCTCTCTTCATGCCAAAACCTAGTCTGTCTCACAGTCCCTGAACCACATTATTTTCCCCACTGCCTAGCCCTCCCTTCATGCCAAAACCTAGTCTGCCTCACAGTCCCTGAACCACATTATTTTCCCCACTGCCCAGCCCTCCCTTCATGCCAAAACCTAGTCTGCCCCACAGTCCCTGAACCACATTATTTTCCCCACTGCCTAGCCCTCCCTGCTTGCAAAAACCTAGTCCGCCCCACAGTCCCTGAACAGCATTATTTTCCCCACTGCCTAGCCCTCCCTGCTTGCAAAAACCTAGTCTGCCCCACAGTCCCTGAACCACATTAATCTCCCCACCTCCTAGCCCTCCCTTCATGCCAAAACCTAGTCTGTCTCACAGTCCCTGAACCACATTATTTTCCCCACTGCCCAGCCCTCCCTTCATGCCAAAACCTAGTCTGCCTCACAGTCCCTGAACCACATTATTTTCCCCCACTGCCTAGCCCTCCCTTCATGCCAAAACCTAGTCTGTCTCACAGTCCCTGAACCACATTATTTTCCCCACTGCCTAGCCCTCCCTTCATGCCAAAACCTAGTCTGCCTCACAGTCCCTGAACCACATTATTTTCCCCACTGCCTAGCCCTCCCTTCATGCCAAAACCTAGTCTGTCTCACAGTCCCTGAACAACATTATTTTCCCCACTGCCTAGCCCTCCCTTCATGCCAAAACCTAGTCTGCCCCACAGTCCCTGAACCACATTATTTTCCCCACTGCCTAGCCCTCCCTGCTTGCAAAAACCTAGTCCGCCCCACAGTCCCTGAACAGCATTATTTTCCCCACTGCCTAGCCCTCCCTGCTTGCAAAAACCTAGTCTGCCCCACAGTCCCTGAACCACATTAATCTCCCCACCTCCTAGCCCTCCCTTCATGCCAAAACCTAGTCTGTCTCACAGTCCCTGAACCACATTATTTTCCCCACTGCCCAGCCCTCCCTTCATGCCAAAACCTAGTCTGCCTCACAGTCCCTGAACCACATTATTTTCCCCACTGCCTAGCCCTCCCTTCATGCCAAAACCTAGTCTGTCTCACAGTCCCTGAACCACATTATTTTCCCCACTGCCTAGCCCTCCCTTCATGCCAAAACCTAGTCTGCCTCACAGTCCCTGAACCACATTATTTTCCCCACTGCCTAGCCCTCCCTTCATGCCAAAACCTAGTCTGTCTCACAGTCCCTGAACCACATTAATTTCCCCACTGCCCAGCCCTCCCTTCATGCCAAAACCTAGTCTGCCTCACAGTCCCAGCCCTCCCTTCATGCCAAAACCTAGTCTGTCTCACAGTCCCTGAACCACATTCTTTTCCCCACTGCCCAGCCCTCCCTTCATGCCAAAACCTAGTCTGCCTCACATTCCCTGAATCACATTATTTTCTCCACTGCCCAGCCCTCCCTGCATGACAAAACCTAGTCTGTCTCACAGTCCCCTAACCACATTATTTTCCCTACTGCCTAGCCTTCCCTGCAATGCTAAAGCCCTAAATGAAGCAAGTCTAGATTTCCCCAGGTTCAGGGATCTCCCAACTCACTGGAGCTCCTATTCAATTCAAATGAGTTTATTTGTTACTATCAAAATAAAATATTTTGAGGGACTAAGCGTTAGTCGAGCTAAAACCCTAAATGAAGCAAGTCTAGATTTCCCCAGGTTCAGGGATCTCCCAACTCACTGGAGCTCCTATTCAATTCAAATGAGTTTATTTGTTACTATCAAAATAAAATATTTTGAGGGACTAAGCGTTAGTCGAGCTAAAGCCCTAAATGAAGCAAGCGTAGATTTCCTCTGAATCTCCTATCTCACTTTAGCTCTTTTTTCAATTTAAATGGGATTATTTGTTACTTATATACTGATACTTATTATATTCAGATACCGAGCGTTAGTCTAGTGCCGTCCATGTCGCGCGTTTTGTGCATATTTCTGGGCAACTTCGGTAGGAATTAAACAAGTGATATTCCCACGGGTGATTAAGCCATGATTAAGAATCAATAAAAGACCAATCCCGTGTATGTCCTTGGCGTAAGCCATAGTGACGCGTGTACAGGAATGTTCACTTCCTTTCAAGATTTCACTGTATGAATATCGGAAGCTATATAATGAGTTTATCGTGTTTACATAATGTCGCCATGCCCGCTGCTACGCCGACACTAATGGGTTAGGAGACAATGCTGTAGATGATGTCAATATTAACACTTCCAAATGTTCACAAGTTCTGTGATTGAATCCGTAGTCTTTGATCTGTGATATTGAGAAAAGTGATTGATTATCGAGCGCGGACTATTCACTCAGTACATGTGACAAATTATTGGTTTAACCATTTGAAGTCAGAGTATACACTCTCAATATAGTGCATTTTAAGTGAATACTAAATTGATTTTTCTTGACAAAAAATTCAATGAACGCCCGTATGACAAAAAATAATAACATGGAGTGTACACAGGTTCGCCATGTGTAACTTACATTTCCTAACAGTTTGACTGGCAGTCAGTTAGTGAGTAAATAAAACACATACAACGTTCCAGTTCGAAAACGATCTAATGATCATCATTGAAATGTCGCTTATAAAATAATCCACAAAACTTGACCCCCTTTTGTAAAACCTCTTATAACATTAAATGATTATCTCTGTTCTTCGCATCAAGATCACGATATGCATTACTGGGTAGCCTAGTGGTTAAAGCGTTCGCCCCTCACGCCGAAGACCCGGGTTCAATTCCCCAGTCGGTTACAATGTGTGAAGCCCATTTCTATTGTCCCCGTCTCGATATTGCTGGAGTATTGCATAAAGCGGCGTAAAACCTCACTCACTCACTACACTTGTTTTTCCAGGTGAACCACTTGCCTTGTATGATCCTCACAGTCAAGGTCATCCGCGGCAAGAACATTACCAAAGGATGGGAAGACTACCGTAAGTAGATCTCATTCGTACGGATATATTCCACGTCCAAAGTACTTATTCTAATTATTTCCTTCCCGCTGTTTCCAAATCGTTCCCAAAATAACTGTCTGTTTACATTGAAATACAGCACTTTGTTTGATGTTCGCTAATGTTTTATTCAAGCCTGATTAATTAAGATACGTCTAATCTGGCCTTAGTTGAGGGAAGCTGGCGAGCCCAGCGTGGTTTGTGTGTCAAACTGGAATACGCTGTCATTCTTATTTAAGTAAATAAGCTTTATATAGGTTGATTGGTTTGTTGTTATTCCAGCCATAGGGCGGTCTGTAAGTAATCGAGTCTGGACCAGGTAATCCAGTGATCTACAGCATTAACATCTATCGCGATCTACGTAATTAGGATACGATGAAATGTGTCAACCAAGTCATCGAGCCTGACCACACGATCCCGTTAGTCGCCTCTTACGACAAGCATGGGTTACTGAAGATCAGTTCTAACTCGGATCTTCACGGGTCCCTTATATAGTCGTTTTGCTGTAGCCGGATCACTGCGAGTCTGACTTTAACCTGTTGATCCTTAGTAATATATTTCATCACAAAAGGAAAGGCATCAGGGCACCCCATGTAGCTGATGACGCAGAGTAAGAAGAATCCCCATATAGAAGTGGCATCTTATCTCAAGAGTGTAATTAAGCCACGCGTACCTCATATCAACATTACTAAGTATTCAGCTATCTGAAGCTAACAACTCCCCACTCCCCATGAATACATCTTGGCGTCGACCAATACCTGTCTAAGAGCGGCCCATGTTATCTTTTAGGGGTAACAGGTATAGTGGTCGCTTAATGCCAAAGGTATTCATGACGTACTCCGAAAACACGTGTTATGTAGCCCAAAGAAATCTTCAGAACGATGAGCCAATGTAAAACATTCCATACCAACATGCTTAAGTAGTGATGCGAAAATAACTACTATTGTTTGTTAAATGTATATGCTATATTTCGGTCGATGTTTATTTGGGGTTTTGTCAGAACGACCTAAAGAATGAGGTATTTATGAGCCGGAGGTGCTGGGACTAGATTTCCTGGCTCACACACTTGTAACTCTGGCCTTTCGGCTCAACGTCTCGCATCTGATGGACATTTACAAACCAAACAAATTGCGTCCCGTCATTGAATGCTGTACATTTCTCAAAGGACAACCTAGACCCAATTCAGTGGTGCGAGTTCTTTTAACGAGATCTCCCGAGTAAGATTTAAACATGGAAAGTATTAGATACGTTGTTTGAACTGATACATAATGTCTCCCTCCCCTCCCATGTTTGCCATTTTAGCTTTATTTCCGCAAATCTTGGAAAAGCATGACATAATCATGTGAACGACATTTAGCGTCAAGCCAATAGCTGGATGTTACATCCCTGTGAGTCAGAGGTTAGCGTGACGTCCGGAAATAATGCTTTCTACTGGAGATGAAATTGTGTGATAACACGATGTCACGTACATGCCCTCTTCTACTGTGGGGTAAACGCACCCTGTGTCATATAGATATTGTTTAATAATGAAAATAATATTGTAATACGGATTGCCGCCATATTGCTGGAATATTGCCGAGAGCGGCTTTAAACAACAAACAAAACGGATCCCCTGAGTGTCATGGACGTGACAACATATATACCAACATGAAGAAATGAATTACACGTTTCGTACATTTATGTATTTGATGATATAGTTTGGTGGGGAAGTTAATCCATCAATACGTGAATTAGCGACAAAGTTTTATGTTTGGCAATATTCCAACAATATGCATAGTTGAAGAAATACACAGTTCCTATTTAGATTGGGGCGGTGGGGTAGCCTAATGGTTAAAGCGTTGGCTCGTCACGCCGAAGACCCGGGTTCGAATCCCTACATGGGTACAATGTGTGAAGCCCCATTTCTGGTGTCCCCCGCCGTGATGTTGCTGGAATATTGCTAAAAGCGGCGTAAAACCAAACTCAGTCAGTCAGTCCTATTTAGATTACCCAGTAGAACAGGTGTGAAGGTTCTATCTGCATACAGTGGACCATTCTTTGTTTGTGTATTTGTTTGTTGCTGAACGCTACAACAATATTCCAGTTATATGACTGCGGATTGTAAATATGAGAGTATGGACCAGACAATCCAATGATTGACATCATGAGTATCGATCTATAGGATAGGATGACATGTGTCAACCAGGTCAGGGAACCTGACCCCCTGATCCCGATGGTTCGATATGCATGGGTTGCTGAAGACCAATTCTAAACCGGATAATCAGGGGTACTTTTATGTTACATAGATGAGGACATATATACATCCATACCAGGAACACAAATAACATGTTTATTTCTTTAGAGGCAATTTTAAATCTATAATAATATTCACGTTTGTTTTGTTTGCAGTCGACACGCCCGATCCCTATATTTCCTTAAGGGTTCGGAATGCCCCCGAGGGCCGCAAGAAAACTCTTACAGTCGACAACAATCCAAATCCCGTCTGGAACGAGACTTTCACATTCCTTTTGGACATCCGGGAAAAGAACAGATTACGTATGTAGTGTTCTGATTGTCAACCTTGTAACATTATTAGTATAATAGCATTGTCTTAGTAAAATAGTATTGTCTATTGTCTTAGTAGAATAGTATTGTCTTGGTAGAATATTATGATCTTGGTAGAATATTATGATCTTAGTACAATAGTATTGTATAGTAAAATAGTATTGTCTTAGTAAAATAGTATTGTCTTAGTAAAATAGTAATGTCTTAGTAAAACAGTATTGTCTTAGTAAAACAGTATTGTCTTGTTACAATAGGATTGTCTTAGTACAATAGGATTGTCTTAGTACAATAGGATTGTCTTAGTACAATAGGATTGTCTTGGTACAATACGTGACATATTACCGAGACCAACGAGGGGTAAACGTAATTTCTATTCATCATTTCGATCACGCGTTTCAAGTTTCCTTTGGTTTTACAGAGATCAGCTTGATGGAGGCCAACCTAGTGTATGACCAGGAACTTGGAACAATATACTATGACCTGTATAAAATGACAGAAGGACAATGGATGAGAGAAAAGTTCATATTTCAACGAAGTATCGAAGTCTACGTCGATTTGCTGCTGTGCTGGGAGTAAGTCGAAAACCTAAACGTTCTCAGTGCATATGTATTAAGTCTCATTTTGTCAGTCTGGCTGTACAAAACGATCTTAGCGGTAAGATGATCCATACCTTAACCCAGACCAGACCTACCAGATGTTATTTTATACAACAGGGCGCTGATGTTGGTTAAAGCGTTGGCTCGTCACGCCGAAGACCGGGTTCGAAACATGGGTACAAACATACCTGCTCAATCAAAGATAAGAGCATGTTCTATATGTTGACTTGCAGACTATGAACACGATGGTCTTCATATATTGGACCAGGGTTCAAATCTTTAACCAGTATTTTACTTTCAAACATGGGACTGAAATTAATTTCATTGACTGTTTCCTAATTTCAGCAAGAATCCCACCTTGAGGTATAGCCTGTGTCTGTGTGACTCTGAGAAACAGTTCCTGGAAAAGAGGCGAGAGAAGGCATTTGAGGGAATGAGGAAACTCCTAGGGGAGAGGTCACCAGAAAAGTTCAGTGAAGTGAGTTGAGGAAATACCAGTCGAGTACTCTAGTCCACAGTGGCAATACAGTGGTTTTAAAATATTCAAAACAATACGAATGAGGAGCGGTTTATTGATAACATAATCCAGCTGATCTATATGTGAATTCACAAGTTTTGTCATGGGATCGGGCCAATTTGAACTTGTCAGAGGGGTACACGAAGACCATGAACTGGACTACCAGTTGACAGTCTTCCAGACAGAGGGGTCAGATTGCTGACTTTGTGGGCTGACAATTAAATGCTGGCTCTTAGAACGTTGGATCGTATCTCGGATAGGACCCAACTACCCGAATCTTTACATTACTGAGGAAGTGTCATCCTAAATATAACATAAGTTACATTTGACCTTTCTAAACGGCATTGCGTGTGTTATTTGTTTATTTTTAGTTGACACTATTTGTGTGTTTTTAAGGGGTGGTGAGGTAGCCTAGTGGTTAAAGCGTTCGCTCGTCACACCGAAGACCAGGTTCAATTCCCCACATGGGTACAATGTGTGACGCCCATTTTTGGTGTCCCCCGTTGTGATATTGATTTAATATTGCTAAAAGCGGCGTAAAACTAAACTCACTCACAATTGGTGTTTTTGACATGTGCTTATATTCTGTAATATTGTTTATGTGTAGGTCCCCAACATAGCTGTGTTAGGATCTGGTGGTGGATTCCGGGCCATGGTGGCACTGAGTGGTGTGTTCAAGGCCCTGAGTGACACAGGAGTCCTTGACACGGTGACATATGCCTGTGGGCTCTCCGGCTCATCCTGGTATGGAAAACTGTAAACTCTTAATCGCTGTAGTGAATAATTACTCTTATTATGCTTTATCACATACAGTTATGTAGTAGATGAGAGTCGTTATATATACTCTTCTCTCTAAAGAAATTTTATTAATAATGGAAGTTATGTATGTGTATACAAAGTTGCCTTAAAAATTTCAACCTGAACAAATATGAAACACTACATTCAAACATGACCTGTTTTCTAACCATACATCAGTAAACTAGACAACAGATTGCAGAAGCTCTATTATCCCAGCCTGTGGGTATCCAGTTTAAACTATACATAGGGGCAGCGGGGTAGCCAAGTGGTTAAAGCGTCCGCTCGTCAAGCTGAAGACCGATGTTCGATTCTACAAAATGGGTACAATGTGGAAGCCTATTTCTGGAGTCCCCCGCCGTGATATTGCTGGAATATTGCTAAAAGCGGCTTAAGAACATTAACGCACTAAACTATACATAAATAACACCCTCGATAACAGGATAAAGAGAAAATAACAATAGGCAGAGGTATAACACTATTTTCCTTCTCTCTTCACAGGTATCTCTCCAATCTATATTCCTACCCTCGCTGGCCAGACATGGATCTGGGGGAGGTGCAGGAAGACCTCAAGAACAACATTGACAGGAGCATCATGTGGCTCCTTCAGCCAAAGAGTGTCTACAGGTACCTCCAGACAATTCTCAAGAAACGACGTGAGGGGCAACCTGTCAGCTTCACCGACTTCTTCGGACACATGGTTGGAGAGACCCTTCTTAAAGGGGTAAGCTAGTTTTGTCCTTTAACAACCTTTTCCAGGGATTTAACTTTGGGCGAATTATGACCGTGATGAGAAAAGAGGTTGAAGACCATTTTGACACGCGAAGTATAAAATATGAACAAAATGGAATATATGATTTTGTTATAGTATATTTATTTTTCATAATTTCTCAGAGGTTAGACAGCAAACTGACTGATCAACGAGAGAAAATCAACGATGGCGATGCTCCAATGCCGATGTATACATGCTTGCATGTTAAGAAAGACGTTCCAGCAAGATCATTCCAAGGTAAGCACATATATCACTTTAACAACAACAACAACAACAACAACAACACCATAAAACATTAACAACAATCGCTCGTGTACGTATTGAGTGAGTGAGTGAGTGTCACGGCGGGGGAAGCCAGAAATGGGCTTCACACATTGTACCTGTTTGGGGAATCGAACCCGGGTCTTCGGCGTGACGAGCGAACGCTTTAACCACTAGGCTACCCCCTTGCATAAATGTCATATATGCAACAAGACAAAAGCATTATACATCTTTATCCTATTTCCAGAATGGGTAGAATTTACTCCGTACGAAATCGGTCTGCCAAAATATGGAACATTCCTGGACTCTGAGTTGTTTGGCAGCAAGTTCTTCATGGGTAAACTGTGTAAGAAGTACGAAGAACCTCCCCTACACTTCCTCCAAGGAATCTGGGGAAATGCCTTCTGTATCTTGTTCAAGAGACTGCTGGACGATAACAGACGGGTGGACCCAACTGAGATGATCAGACAGGAATTAGGTAAGGGCATGATTCCGGTTACTTATTTCCGGACATGCGTGCTTGCATATTGTCTTTATCCAATGCAATCACCAGCTTGGTTCCTGGTTCATGTTTACCAAATGAAAAGATGTTTGTTTGTTATTCAACAACGCACTCCTCAATATTCCAACTATATGGCGGCGGTCTGTAAATAGTTGAGTCATACTAGTACTGGCTTAAATGATTGATAATTGGAATATCGTATATATGAAAATTATTAATGGTTATGGATACAAAATTGTGCCATCGATAATATCGTAGACACACTTTTGTGATAGAATAGGGTTTCACTTTGCTCATACAACTCACACAGTTATTCTTTTTTCATTGGCTGTGTTACGACGTAAATTGTAATAAAAACGCAATTGTAATACTTGCAGCAAAATTATTACAATTTACGTCAATTTTTTATTACAATTTGCGTATTACAATTTACGTCAATTTTTATTACAATTTACGTTTTTATTACAATTTACGTCAAGTTTATTACAATTTGCTGCAAGTATTACAATTTCCGATTTTATTACAATTTACGTCGTAACAGGCTGCTTCTAAGTTATGTTCAGGCTGGTGTCGTGTGTATTGATGTCTCCACTCACCAGTGATTGGAAATATAGTCACTTTCAGACTTTTTGCTCAAAGTTACTTCTCCGATATACATCGATATTTGTAACGATTATCGATCTCTATCATCAATATGCTAGCCAGCCCTATGTCTTACCCACTAAATCCAGTGATTAACATCATGAGCATCAATCTGCACAGTTGGGATACGATGACATGTGTCAACCAAGTCAGTGAGCCCGACCACCCGATCCCGTTAGTCGTCTATGACGACAATCACGGGATGCTGAAGACCAATTCTAACCCGGATCTTCACGTGTTTCATGCTGTTGATCACTGCATTGTCTGGCCCAGACTCAGTTATTTACAGACTGCCGCCATGTGGCTGGGATATCGCTGACAAACAACAAGCAAACAAATCATAGCATAAGACGAGATGATATACACAATGTACATTCTATGTGATTTAAAGTAACATATTGATTTGTGACTGTAAAGGGCCACATGTAAAGCCACAAGCAACAGTTGCATATACACTCTAGCAAGGTTTACCATTTACTTTCAGGCAAAGAACTCGAAAAGAACCAACTTGCTGCTGATGAGGACAGTAGCGACTGTAGTGATGAAGAAGATGAAGTGGACGACGACATTCCCAAATCAGATGAGAGTAGCGACGACTCCAGCGATAACACTGGAACCCCTACTCTTAAAAACAGGTCAAGGCCACATTTGCCCCTGAGGTGGAGGAAATTCCGGAACCCCAAGACAAAAAGACCCGAACTGAAAAGAGCCGAGTCACAACATAAAACCCGACAGTGGAGTTACTGGCATAACATGCTCAAAGGAATGGTTGAAAAGTGAGTTTCCATTCAGAAAGTTTCTGTTTTCAAGGTACCCGTGACGATCCGGGTTAGAACTGGTCTTCAGCAACTCATACTTGACTCACTGACTTGGTTGACACATGTCATCTCAATTGCGTAGATCGATGCTTAACTGTTGATCACTGGATTGTCTGGTCCAGACTCGATTATTTACAGTTTGACGCCATATAGCTGGAATATTGCTGAGTGAGGCGTTTAACAACAAACAAGGTAACAAACCAAACCGTTTTCCAGAATTCAAGAATATTACATCAGTGCATAAAAACCAGGCTTTACTATCCTCGAAACATGTGTATGCACAAGTGTAATTTTCAAAAATATATTATTTGATCGGATATCCTCAATGCGCAGTTAACCATGGCAACCCAATAATGTATCAGTTACATATTTGGACCAGATCGCAATGACCTCAATTCAATTTCCTTTCCAGCAAAAACTTCGAACTGCTGAGCACAAGGACCGGAAGGGCCACTGTCATCCACAACTTTATGCGCGGATTATCTCTGCAGGAACAGCATTTGTCTCCCTTTACGCCTGTGAGCGAACGTGTTAAGGAAGGAGATGAGTTTGATGGCATCTTCGACATGCACCCAACAACGGTGAAGCATATTTACATGGTGGATGCCGGCCTCACATTTAACTCCCCCTATCCACTGGTGCTCAGACCTCAGAGGAACATCGACATTATCCTTTCGTTTGACTTCAGCGCCAGGCCAAGTGATAGTACTCCCCCCTTTAAGGTAATTTGCATAATGTTTATACAAATGCTAAGTATTCAACAGAATGTTAAGATCTGGTTGTCGTTCAACGTCGTAATCAGCAATATTCCAGCTATATGACGGCGGTCTGTAAATAATTGAGTCTGGACCAGATAGTCTAGTGATTGACATCATGAGCATCGATCTCCGCAATTTGGATACAAGTCAACCAAGTCAGCGCACCTGACCACCCAAACCCGTTGCAGTGTGGGTTGCTGAAGACCAATTCTAATTCGGATAAAAACAGTTAAGAAGAAACGGAACCATCACACATTATAAATTGATGGTCAGTTACACCACAGACAAGTCAACCCTATATTTTTCACACACTAATTAATGTATTTTATAAGCATTTATTAGAGTATGTGTGATAATGCCTGTTTGGACACTTGTTTGTTTGACCCGATATTTACTTATATGTTTTTCTCCTCAGGAACTTCTATTGGCTGAGACGTGGGCCAAACTGAACCGGTTACCATTCCCTCCAATTGACCCTACAGTGTTTGACAGAGAGGGACTGAAGGAACTGTACATCTTCAAACACCCCACAGACCCTCACTGCCCAGTCGTAATGCACTTCTGCCTCGTTAATATCAACTTCAGGAAATTCTCCAAACCTGGTAGGTGGACTATATTTAAACAATACGAAGAGTGAGTGAGTGAGTTTAGTTTTACGCCGCTTTTAGCAATATTCCAGCAATATCACGGCGGGGACACAAGAATTAAGCTACACAGTAAAGACAGTAAATTATGCAAGTTCGGCTTGGTCATTGCTACCAGTGCTTATTCTATCCATGAACACCTGAGATTGTGTCAGATTTACAGGGATCAAAGCGTCAACACTATATTTTTCTTGTACCGTTACCGTTATTTTTACCTGAGCAGGAAAACATTTTCTTTAAATGGTGATATAGCTTGGTATTTTCACGTAAATCTAATTCAGAATACTTGTGAAACTTGAGTGAGTGAGTTTAGTTTTACGCCGCTTTTAGCAATATTCCGGCAATATCACGGCGGGGGACACCTGAAATGAGCTTCACACATTGTACCCATGTGGGGGTTCGAACCCGGGTATTCGGCGTGACGAGCGAACGCTTTAACCACTAGGCTACCCCACCGCCCCTGTGAAACTTGAACTGGAAAGTGACTGTAGTGTTTTGTTCTGCAGGGGTAGAAAGAACCACCAAAGAGGACCTTGAGTTTGCTGATTTCGACCTGTTTGACGATCCAGCTACTCCCTATTCCACCTTCAACTTCTGCTACACTCACCAACAGTTCCAACGCTTGTCGAAATTGGCGGAGTTCAATACGCTGCTCCACGTGGATGACATAAAGAATGTTATTGCAGATAAGATTGAAACCAAGAGGTCATGTCCTCCAAGGCTTCCGTTCCATTCAAAGGATATGAAGCTGTTGAGAATAAAGAGTGTCCAGGAGAGAAGAAGATTGAAGAAGTACCTTACACGGGTAGAAAGTATCCATGAGGCAAACTCCCCAACTGTCGAACCCACTAGTCCTTTCTTCAAAGCACCGGAGGGTTTGGAGGATCTTCCAGAGAGTCCTGACCCAATGCACAGCGATGGGGCAGAGAGGGGGAGAGTGAAGTTGACGAGACAGGATACAGTTTGAACTTTAAACAGTATCACCGAATCTATTTCCCTGGATTCGCCTAAAGCACTTTCGGGGAAACAGTTTGACATGTCTCAAAACGGACTTCCTGACGAGGACATCGACACCGACTCCGACGGTTTTGAAGACATCTGGTACGATGCCCAGACATACAACTTCGACCCCAAAATGAACACCGTCACATCTTGTGCATCGTGAAAGGTTATATAGACAACACAAGGGCTATAGTTCTTGAGTTTGGTGCTAACCGAATTCACTCACCTCCCATAGTGGGTAGATGCATGTTCGGTCGAGGCAGAAACAGGTGCTTGGAACACCGGGTGTTTAGGTGCCTTACACGACGAACTCATGATATAGTCACAATTGTACAATCGACTCTGCTTTAGCACAGATTTCTTCTAGATGTGGAAAGGTTTTGTTATTTGCTATTGTTTCGCCAACTGGGAAAATACCACTTAAATAAGGGTCGTTATTCGTTACAGGTGTAAAGGCTGGATATTTTGTCCTAGTCTCTTGCACAAGTAACCCAATATCCTGCCCTTTACCAGTTATCTGATAGGGTTCTGGGGCTCAAGGCACTGGTGCCATGGTTTCCATAGCAACAGTTTTTTAGCCAATCCCCAGGGACTATGTTGTCACATGACAGGGGCAAGAGGGAGCGTGGGACCCCCAAGCCTGAAATCTTCCTCTTTCTGCCTGCACTGTCGAGGTGACAACAAGCCAACTTGTTTTTTAGGTAAGAACCTCAGTTTGCTTCCATATTGCAACTAGGTCTTCTGTACAAAATTCCAATGCATAGTTATGTTGTTAGCAGGATAAGTAGTTATCTGCGGCTTTTAAATTAATGCATTATTTAATTTGATAAATCACAATTAAAACAATTGTTGGGTCACTGTCATCAATTATTCTTGCTGTGCCAAACTGGCGAAAGGTCACTCATCTGTGACTGTCCAAACGTGCACTCGATGGCAAGAATACTACTGACTGAGTTTGGTTTTACGCCGCTTTTCAATATCACGGCGGGGACACGAGAAATGGGCTTATATTTTACATCTGGGGATTCGAAAATTCAACGCTTTAACCACTAGACTACCCCCACCACCCCCGATGGCAAGAATAAATAACATGTACTCTGTAATATATTTTCATCTAAAATTCATTTAAGGTAAATACTTTCTGTGTTTAGCATTAACTTATTTGCCAGTCAAAATTGTCTCTAGCTCATTGCTAAATTCAAAATTCCATTTATTTACAACTTGTTGCTGTTAACAACAGAACTCTTTTGCCATTTTATTCTAAATTAAAAAGTGGCTGTATCACTGTCCCGGTTTCCAAACCATGTGCTCAGTTAGAGTATCACGGTATCATCTGGAACCAATTAGTGGCGATCATGCTCAATGACCAGTGCTGACCTCTCCACTGAGCAGCACACAACCTTGGCTGTCTTCGGCTCTCCTCGGCATTCTTCGGCTCCCGTCCGGCTTCATTACAAAATGGCTGCACCGGATGTAAACAAACCTAGGGTCCGTCGTCTGCTTCGTGTTTATCTTAACACAGCAAAAGCCTACTATGATCTCATGTCACTTTATCAAGTACATCTGTAAAGTGCTACTGATGGGTAATAGCATATTCAGCATTTGAATATTGTGTATTTTCTGAACAAGATTATTTTCTCGTTCTCTTTGCGTCTGGCGGTACGCAATCAAACGTAATATTTCTACATGTTGTTACAGCAATCATATTTTAGTATGTTTCCCCACTTGATGTGAAAGTGAAGTCACAGTTTATTCAATAATAATATAATGTATTATATTATATGGCCAATAATATACCTACAAATTGTAGTAATATAAATCATGTAATATCCGTTTTTTACATATTATCAATTTACTTACTACAATTTGGTGTTCATTCTGGGTAGCCCCAAGTGGTGTACCTACTGGGTTTTTTTGACATTCTGTTGGAGCTAGCCTCATATTGACTAGTATGATCATCCAACAGGCAGTCATACCCCATTTCGCTTAGCCACATGTGTCATACAGGCCAGGTGTCCTGTCGTGGCTATTGTTTATATCAATCAAACCGGTTTTCATATATTCCAAATGTGTTGGGTATAAATTTTTCCCCACTTTGTGTATATATATATATGTATTTTTATACTTCCCATTGGCCCTTAAAGTTATTGTGACTTTAACCTCACCTCAGGTGGGGCCCTATGTAAATCCTCTGATAGGAGGGGTGTGACGATTCTTTCGGGTTATATAATTAAAGTTATTTATGTAAATACTCTTTGGGATTGTGTGCTCATATATGCACATATGCTTTTGTACCAATATTGTATTTATTTGTCCTTTAATAATATTGTTTCCCCTAATAAGTTTTGTCGTCACATCCTATGTATCAGTCGGATTATTGTTGATTTTCATAATTGTATCTGTACAATGGCTCTTTCTGCCTGCACTGTCGAGGTGACAACAAGCCAGCTTGTTTTTTAGGTTTCACCTGGACTGTGCAGTCGGAACTTGCAACTCTGTAACCAAGACCTTTTATTTTAATACATATTATTACTGTCTTTTTGTGTTGTGTCATCTTTGACTGGAGAACTTCGCGCAATAGACACACTTGCCCATCCCTTTTCCCGTGAGACGTAATTGTTACGCAACCACAGCAATTACCCAAGTCTTACATTTGCGCCCAACGTGGGGCAAAGTGTCGCAAGCGCTCATAGTACTCCTCAACGGTCAAAGATACACACTCATTGGCACATAAGGCATAACTTTGTATCTATACTCCTACCCTTAGTTCCCTTAGTCAACTAAGATTTCTCGGTACCTCATCTCCGATTTTTGTCAACATGTCCTCGCTCACGAACTCTGAGCTCTTGGACACCATGTTGTCAATGAAAATTGACCCCAAGCGATCAATTGGAATAATTGGGCTCCCGCAGGAAACAAAAACGGAGTCGGTTGAGGAGGAGTTGTCCCCTTGCTATGGGAAGGTGCGGGTTCTCCAGGTGCTTGATTCTATTGATCAGCTGCACCTCGTGGAGTTCATGAGCCCTCAAGTCCCTCTGAAGCTTGGGGACACTGTACTCATCAGAGAGGAGGAGTATCAAGTTATGAAAGTGAACTTGGTTCGGGAAGGATCCTCTCTAGAAGACGTCGTGGCCAGGGCAGTAGATCAGGCCCTGGACAGGAAGACAGCCCTGATGATCGAGGCGATGAAGTCGGAGATGCTGGAACAGTTCCAACTGCTATTACGACAGCTTCCATCAGCTACGACCAGCGCCGGATCCATAAAATCAAATCCAACAACTCCCACACCTGTTCTGGCGGCTAACGAGGTTGCTGCTGCCACTAGCGACTCTAATGTTGCCAGCTCGAGTGCTGGGGTTGTGGGTAGCGGTAGCTCTGTACGCCCAGACCCACAACAGGTGCTGGTGAATTGGGAACGTCCCTCATCCAGCTACTTCAGACTGAAGACCTTCTCTGGTACAAGACCCATCAAAGCCGGAGAGGTAGCCTTTGAAGAATGGGCCAAACAAGCAAAGATTGTAATGGAAGATCAGGCCCTCTCAGAGACCGGGAAGTGACAGAGACTCCTTGGCAGCCTCCAGTCTCCAGCCTTCGATATGGCTTTGGGGATCGGAGAGGACAAGCAAACCAAATCACATGTTTCATTGGCCATATTGGAAGCGTGACCTACTTTCACGAATCTCATATTATCCTCTCTATTTAAAACTTGCAACATATATTTGGTTACTGGTTCAACTGAAAACTGATTTAAAATAACGCCAACTTATAACAAGCCAACTTATTTTTTAGGTTTCACCTGGACTGTGCAGTCGGAACTTGCAACTCTGTAACCAAGACCTTTTATTTTAATACATATTATTACTGTCTTTTTGTGTTGTGTCATCTTTGACTGGAGAACTTCGCGCAATAGACACACTTGCCCATCCCTTTTCCCGTGAGACGTAATTGTTACGCAACCACAGCAATTACCCAAGTCTTACACAGACATAGCCGTAATCATCGCTCATCTGAGGCTACTGTATTGACTTAAGCACTGGTTGACTTTAAGTGAGTGAGTGAGTATGGTTTTACGCCGCCTTTAGCAATATTCCATCCGTAGGTGGGAAGAAACACTCACTTCTTTAAAACTTTTTTTAATTTTAATATTTATGTTTTAAAAAGGACGAATCTGAAAAGAAAAGGAACTAGTTTAATTATATTCCGAGGGTTGTGGCCTCTCACCTGTATGCTGTCTTATTAAGTGCAAATAGCTGCGTAAGTGAGTGAGTTTAGTTTTACGCCGCTTTTAGCAATATTCCAGCAATATCACGGCGGGGACACCAGAAGTAGGCTTCACACATTGTACCCATGTGGGGAATCGAACCCGTGTCTTCGGTGTGACGAGCGAGCGCTTTAACCACTAGGCTACCCCGCCGCTCCGGCTGACTTTAAGTCATAAAACATAAAGCTATGGCAAACCACACTATTCAGCAAAGAGATATATTTGACAGTTCACAACGAGTTTATCAGTTCTTTGGGACACATTTCACATCAGAAATGGAAGTAGCCGGACATGTGTAAGGGATGTAACAAATGTTTTAACATTTCTTAACACTTCCAGTTTATTTAAACGAACTGATTTAATTTGGCAATACACAACTTGAGGGCTTGTGTCTTCTCAATGCTTCCTTGTCTTCATTTCTCGTTTAAATATGTTAACCCTTTGTTGAAATTATCAGCTTCCCGGGTACCCTTGAACAATAACGTGTACAGGCAGTTCTGGTGCCCATGGGGTCAAAATGGCCGCGCGTGTTAGGACATCAGATTGGTGTTTAGGACCATGAATAAGACTAGTCTGATGAACATTACCTCATATCCTGTCAGCAAAATATACTCATGCCAATAATGGTTGTCACACACACACACACACCCCTCACCCCCCCACACACACACCTCACACCCACACCCCACACCCCTCTCCAATTAAAAAAATTGAAGGGGGTGACAACCATTATTGGCATGAGTATATGTTGGGCATTACCTTTCCATTTAAGCGTTAGGTTAATATTATTTTCATAAGTGACAGAACACAATCTTATGAATCTCCTGGTGGTGGAATAGCCTAGCGGTTAAAGCGTTCGCTCGTCACACCGGTCCGGGTTCGATTCCCCATATGGGAACAATGTTTGAAACCCATTTCTGATGTCCCTCATCGTGGAATTTCAGAAATATTATTAAAAGTGTCATAAAGGCATTCCGCTCATTCATAAAAAGCATTCCACTCATTCTGTCAGTAGTGAGTTGTTACCAGACTGCGTTTACAGTT